AATCGGGAAAGGAAATACTCGAATCGGGAGCTAAGATATCCTACGTATAGACGTGTGTATTATTTTCATCTCACATCCACACCCACACCCACACTCACACTATATCGATTGAAACAAAGTTTATAGAAAAATATTAGAGATGTATCATTCTAGTATTTCATATGGACTGAATAGAACCGCAGAAATCAAGTTTTGCACCATCACACTTTTGAACCACTCAGTGCGTATCTAATATTTTAACTAGATGACTTCAATCAACTTCAACTATCCAAAATAGCAACTTGTCGATGAGTGGACTTCGAGTCATAACTCAACATTATCTAGTGTAATATGTAGTTTACTGATGTCATCCAGAATTCCTCAATACTCTGTAAAATTCTTATCATGAATCATTCAACATAAGAGAACAAATAAATACATGCAAAGTTCACATCTCATTATTAAAATCCAAATTGAAATACTGAGATATAGGATATCGAAGATGGAACTCAATCATTTTAGTATCATTTTCTCTAAGCAAAGTTTGAATTAAAAAAGAACAAAACTAAACAAAATACGGTGTAATTTCTATCTCTACCATATCATATTGAATTATTCAAAAGGTTAAAAATTTAGGATAAAGCACGTTGAGTTTTGAACATTCTACTCGAATATATTTATAAAAGTGTGGCGAAAGTGAGTTTATGTAAAATAAAACTATATTATTGCAATCATAGGATTTTTTTCTTAGTATGTATATTTCATCGTAGAATATTCAATATTGATAATAATCAGTTGTTATTTCTAATGAAGAATTTAATCCTAAATTAGCTACTCATGAACTAGTAAGAGATTCTATGTCTAATTTTGTGTTTCGAGATAATTAAAACAAAAAGAAAAAGCTGAGTTAAGCGCCACTTCTTTCTAACAAATGTTTTTACAGCTGAAAGGACAGTTCATGACAAATTATGAATTATCAGTGTTCTCTCAACATATGATAGTTTGAATTCTCGATTTTGATGATATAAATTTGACTTTATTTTACTATAATTATGAATGTTTAGAATTTTATGAAAACATCAAAGTCGTTATTTCAAAATCAAGCTTCGCATCGCATTTCGCAGACGAGTCTCGACTCGTGTGCTATCTAGTTTCTCTTCAAAACTGAATATAATTTGATAATTTCGATTAAAAGATTCGAATAAATAAACTTTAAATTCTTCATTTTTTTGTTGAATACTTTCGATTTATACAGACAAGAAGAAAAGAAAAAAGGAAAACTTTGTAATTTGAATTGAATCGAAATAACAATTATTTAAAAAGAAGATTGTTTTATAAAATTTTATTTGTATTTTTGATACATTAATTCGAATTCTTGTTTAGCAGTTACACGTGGCATCAAGCTTTCATTTCGAATGATATTTTCGATTAAATGTCGAAACTGTTGTTCATGACGATAATCTGAGAAGTCAAATCAACAGATTTTTGTTATATTTTAAAGATTGTAATTGATACGAAGACAACTAGTGAATTGAATTATAGATTTTTCGAGATAATAATTATGTAGTTTCAGTAAAATCTGATGTTGTTTTTATTTGTTTTAATAATATTATATTCGATTTTATTGTTGGTCCTTCTTCTTTTTATAGGTTGTTAGAAATGTATGAAATATTTCTAATTCAATATTTACTAATGAATCTAAATTTAACTTTGGTAAAATTGCAAAATTATTTTAATAATAGTCGCTTGCATGTTGGCTAAAAAAGTTTGCACATAATTTTAACTTATCTTGTAATTTAGAATTAATTTCATCAATCACATTAACAACTACAATATGTGAAACAGTTAAACAAAAGAGAATCATTTGATGATCTCACTATTTACTTCCCATGTCACACCTTAATAAACCTTCAGTATCAATCAGCATGAAATTCGATTTGACATATGATTCATAGATACCTCGAGTACATTTACCATCATGAATATTAAATAATGTGCCAAACATATAATTTGATAAAATACTTTTACCAGAATTTTGTGACCTAATAATACTAATGGCAAGTATTCGATGATGTTGTAATGATGCTAAAGCTTTGACTAAAAGTATTGTTATTTTCTAGATCAAGAGTTCCTCGAAATTCACTCTATGATATAAATACGTAATTATAAGTGCTATCTAAAATCGGCATCTGAGATGATGTTCGACTGGATTCATCTTTATTCATTTTGATGATCCATAATGAATGTTTTAAGTGATTAATTATTGTTCAAAAAATCAAGTAGATAATCTAATAGAATTTTAATGGATTAGGCAATTTTATCAGTTTATCTCTATTTCTTTTCTGTCGTATGACTCAATCTTTTGTTGATTTTTTCCTTTTATTTTGTCTTTCAATTCATTCTCATATGGAATACTGCAACTTAACTAACTGTTTCTTTTTTGTCGTATTACGAACATATGTTTCGAAAACACAAGCATATATGAAAGAAACAAATAATGATTCAATGTTGGTATATTTCTTTTCTTCGTTTACCTTTTTTGTCGAAATTTTGTCAAGAATAGAAAGAAAACAGATACATCATGTCATCATATAAAGCTACTTTACATTACACAAATAATGATGAAATAAAGCAAATCGCTTGTGAACGTTATTTTCAAGAGGAATAAAGAACGAGAAAAAATATCATATTTATGTTTGTTTTTTTTCTTTCATTCGTAATTATACGTGTTTAATCGGTATTTATCCAACGTTTTCTTCGATGGCAAGATGATATATTTTCAAAGGCATTGAAGCAAAGAGTATTATGAGGAGAGTATCATTCTTTCATTTCTTATCTGTACGATATTACTAATGTTTTAATTCATGATGAGCCAGTCGACAACGACACATTTAACTAACTATCATAGATTAGAACATTCAGAAATAGAAGAACAAACTCGATGAAAGTTAAATGATGATATTGATAAACTAGACGTAGTAAATAATTTTCGCAATGATGATATAAAGAATTTTAAGAATGAAGGGAAAGTGTTACATATATAGAAGATATATTAATATAGGTACTAGTACAACTGATTCTGAGCTTTCGAATTCATTTTCCTGTTCTAAGTAGGCTTCAGGAAGATTAAGTTAATTCTAATAAACATTCATGAGTGTGAGTACGGATCAATGAGAACTCACTAACAAATATACCCACACCCTCAGTTTTACCAGTGGAATTTTATAACAATTAGTAATTGTTGCCACAAGAAAAACTTCTTTTTCGATTTCTTCTATTAGTGAACAACGTTCTTATTGTCATTGAATTATTAAATTTATATTTATAAAAGTAGATAAATACATTATTGATTTCGATTATAAATTTATATTCAACGACATGGCAATGACAAATAACAAAACACTATGTTTTAAATGTAATCAAGAAAAAATAACATATTTTTGTAAAGGATGTTCAAACGAATTTTGTTTGCTGGATTTAATAGAACATCGTCAAACATTAAACAATGAATTACATCTTATTACCAATGATTATAATGAATTCAAAGAAGGAATTAATGAACAAAAACAAAATCCACATAATCATTCATTAATAAAACAAATTGATCAATGGGAAATAAAATCAATTGAAATAATTCAACAAAAAGCACAAGATTGTAGACAGGTTGCCATTGAATCATTACAAACATGTATTAATGATATCGAAAAGAAATTTAATGATTTAACTGAACAAATAAAACACCTTCAGAAAGAAAATGACTTTAATGAAATTAATTTAAATCATTTAACAAATCAATTAATAGAAATTACACAAGAATTAAATAACCCATCAAATATCTCTATTCAACAAGATTCACAATCAGTTATTGATGGTATTTCAATTATTTTATTAAAAAGTAAGTTATTAAAAAATAATTCCTAAAGGAGACATACTAATTTTCGATGAAATTATAACCTATAGATCACTGTAGTCAAATCAATAGATGTTCCATATTTATAACTTTCATTGAATAAAACAAAAATATCAAAACGTTGATTTTTAAGAAATTGTTGATTATCACTTAAGAAATATTTTATTCTATTTAAAATATATTTGAGAAATAATACTTTTCTAAAAATTCATATTAAAGTTCTAAATTAAAATAAATAATACAATCAGTCATACTATCAGCTTTATAGAATAAATAGAATAGTAAAAATAAATCAGTTTTCCTTTTTTCTTCATTGTTTTAGTGTTGATTTAATAAAACAAATTAAAAGATAACATTTATTTCTAATTGAAATAGTTTAAATCTTTATTAATTTATTTTATTCTGTACAAATCTTTTAATTCAAGTCGGTTTTTTCTCATTGCCAGATTCATTTCCATTTTCATTGACAAATATTCTAAAACATTTCGTTTTTATCAAATTTTTATTTAACAAAAAACAAATCAACAAAATCTTTCGTCATTTTTAAATTTATTTTTCTGTCCTAATGAAATATTTGTCGATTTGTATCAAAAAAATTATCTTTAAATAAAAATTCTTTCTCTTCAAAACATACATAAATTTCAAATTCTTTTTTCTTTTCAAAACAGAATATTTCTTCATTTCATTTTATTAAATCTTCTTTAAAAAAAACAATGAAACAGATTTTTTTTATTACGATTAATTTCAAAAGAATTTCTTTCTATTTTTCAAATACAAAACTTCAAATATTTCTTGTCCTTTTTCAGTAGAGTTTTTTCTCAAAATTCAACAATAAATATCAAATACAATTTCTCTTTTCATTACATATTTTTATCAACGTTTCACTCAAAATTCAACTTTAGCAAGAAAACAAACTCAAACTTTCATTGAAAACCAATCTTTTCTTTTTTTTTCGATAAAACAAAATCCTCTTCTTTTCATCAAAATATTTTGTTTTTATCATTTTCTAGAACTAAAATGGGACAGGTGGAAACGAAATGCCATCACTGTGGCTGGTGGAAATGGAGAAGGACAAAAATTAAATCAACTCGATAAGCCTCGTGGAATCTTTGTTGATAAAAACAAAAATATTTTCATTGCTGATTGTTCCAATCATCGTATTGTTGAATGGAAACGTGATGCAGAAGAAGGACAAATCATTGCAGGTGGAAATGGGGAAGGACATCGAATGGATCAATTAAATCGACCAACAGATGTGATTGTTGATCAACAAAATCATTCGATCATCATTGCTGATCGTGGAAATAGACGAGTGATTCAATGGTTGAATCAAAAGCAACAAATTCTCATTGATAATATTGACTGTGGTCGCTTGGCAATGGATAAACATGGATATCTTTATGTTTCAAATTGGAAGAATGATGAAGTGAGACGATGGAAAATGGGTGAATACAATGAAGGAATTGTAGTGGCAGGTGGAAATGGACGAGGAAACCAACTTAATCAACTTAATTTACCTACTTTTATCTTTGTTGATGAGGATCAATCTATTTACGTAACAGATTTGAACAATCATCGTGTGATGAAATGGAGAAAAGATGCAGAAGAAGGTACAATTGTGGTTGGAGGAAATGGTCAAGGACAAAATCTCAATCAATTATATTATCCTGAAGGACTGTTTATTGATGATTTGGGTCAAATCTATGTGGCAGATTCCAGGAACAATCGAATAATGCGTTGGTGTGAAGGAAAAGAAGAAGGTGAAATTGTTGTTGGTGAAAATGATGGAGGAAATCAAGCAAATCAATTCAATGGTCCTAGTGGATTATCTTTTGATGATGAAGGAAATCTTTATGTTGTTGATTTTAATAATCGTCGAGTTCAAAAATTCGAAATAATTTTGTAAATGAATTTATGATTTTGAAAAAAAGGAAAGAAATATTCTTTTGAATAAAAATGAGCGAAAAAATAAAATGAAGTTTTAAGAAAAAGAATTTTTTTGCTGAAAAACCAACGAAAAAAACATCGTTTTTAATGCGATGCGAAGAAGGAAGTCTTTATGTAGTCCTTCTCGTACGCATTCAAAGTGGTCATTTTGTGTGACGATGATCTCAAGAACGCAACGTCACAAATTATTCTTTCAGATGTGAGATCAATATATCGAGATCAAACTAATACTATTCGTTTTCCGATTTTCAACAGGATATTTAATTTGTTTACACGAAGCGTCACAAAAACACGATTTTGACTTTTTCACATTTCGAGATAATTGAAACGAAAAGCAAAAGCAAAAGTTAGACACCGCTTTTCTCTAGCAATTGTTTTACAGCTGAAACTGCAACTGATAATAGATGATGAATCACTTAGATAATTATAAAAACTAATCATCAATGTTCGTTTAACATATGAGAATTTGAATTTTCGATTTCGACGATATAAATTTGACTTTATCCTACTATAATCGTGAATACTGAAAATTTTGTGAAAACCTCCAAGTCGTTATTTCGAAATCAAGCTTTGCATCACATTTCGCAGATGAGTCTCGACTCGTGTGTCATCTAGTTTAATTATGTATTTACGAAACAATTTAATGTCACAAAGTATTATAGTTCATTGATCAGCCTATTTATATTATATCAAATATGATTTCAGAAAATAAATTTCAATTACAACTATTTTTATACAAATGAAAAAAAAAGAATATTTAATAAAAGCCATGGAAACTTGTCTATTAAAAAAGAATTATTTCGTTTTCTTTTGATTTTAATAACAATGCTACGTTTAGGGTAAGTATTAAATTTATTTATTTGTATTATTAGTCTTTCTTTTAGATGCGATATTCATATAGAGAAACCATCAATGGATGTTGCTGATCGAGTAGCCGATCTACGAAATCGTGTTGCATGGCTTAGTAAATGTCTTAATATTCATTTAAAACAATTCTAAAGTCATTTTTATTTAAAGAAAATGTTGAATTTTGTTTATTGGGTGATCAAAATGATCGATTAACGAAAATAAAAGGTGAACGATATGATATGGAAACATTCAACAATAATTTACGCAAACAATTAAAAATACCTGTTGAAAAGGTTTTTATTTATATTATTTAATAGAAAATTTAATTATTAACATTTATTAGAAGACGATTGTTAGTTCATCTGAAAAGAACGCGATCACTGTTGTAAGGTTCGCAATATTTATTTCTATAATATAATCTAATTAAAATCTTATAGAAAGGAATTGAATCTATAGACAATAAACGAAATCGAGCAATACAAAAATATAATCAACTATTATATATTCAACAATGTTTACTTGATCGTCTTGAATCTCTACATGTTCAAACACGTATCGATCAAACAAAATCCAAAGCAATATCAATGCCTGTCAAACAGATTAAAGTAAATAATAATAAAAACATTTTTTATTAGCATAGATTATTAATTTAAGAATGTCAAAACTATCACACGCCGTATTCGTGAAATTCAAGATCGATTAACAAGTGTGAAATTAATAAATAAAACATTGAATACTTGTAAACAACATTTACAATGTGTAATTTTTTATTTTAAACTAATATAAATTTTTCTATACTTTAAAATATTAGGATTTAGATTTACTTCGAAAAGAATTACCAAATGTACAAAAAGATATTGGAAAAAAATTTCATCAACGAATAATCCTTAAAAAAGAATTTACAGATATTGTCGATGAAAATAAACGTCGTCTGGTAGAATTAATTATATCTATCGATTTTTAAAAATATCTATCCTTTCTTATCATATTAGAAAGCCTATCAACAATTATTAGATCATACGGAAGCTCAAGTCAGTTCTTTTTCAAGAAAGAATGAAACTTTTTATTACTATATTTTACAGAGTCAACAACGACGTGTTATACATGAGCAAGCGATGGCTTCTATTGCTGAACAGTTAGAAGATCAATATCAAGTACAAATGATGGGTAAAACAAACCAATGCTTTTGAAATATATTTTCTATTATTTCTAGCTGTAAATGATATGACAACATCATTTGAATCACGAAGATTAACTAGTACGAATGGTCCAACAATAAATATACAACAACAGAAATCAATTTTAATGAGCAGTGATGAAATAATTCAAGTTAGTTGTATGTATGATCAATTTTATAATATAATTCTCGCTGGATTACCGATTGATTTAAATGTAAGATAATATTTTCAAAAATTAAATCTATATTTTTTTAATTCCTTAAACAGAATTCCGAACAATTGAAAATAATGACCAATGAAATTTCTGCTAAAACTGTTGCTAGTATGATTTTATCAAGGATATTGAAGTACAATTATTAGTTTAAATTTTAGTGTTAACATTGACAAATCGAATGATAGAAGAAAAAGAACAAGTTAGTCAACAAATAAATCGAACTGATAAACTTTTAAAATTAATTGAAATGTCTATAAATTGTAAAAATGATATGTAAATATATTTAAATGATATATATATGTAGTAAAAATAACCTTTTTCTTTTATTAGACGTTATAAAATCTTAGATACAATGGTTGAACAACGACAAAATTCAGAATTATTTTATATAAATGATTCAATTGAAGAACAAAATCGTATTTTACGTCAAATTAATGATTTTATTATAGTCTTATCGAAAGCTCTTTGTGAACATATTGATACACAAGTCAGATTGTTTTTTTAAATAGAAAAGATTTACTCTCAAAAATTTTATTTAGATTATTACTGAACCATCTACTGATTTTATTGAACGTCTTCGATCTGTATTTAATTTAATATCGAAAACTAAGACAACAGGATCAATCAATGAAAATGTATGTGTTTTATATATTATTCGATTATGATTATACTCAATAATTTAGGACTATCAAACATCTCCTATTATTCAACGTAGTGGTAATGAAGAAAATTCTGAATATAAAATTATATCTTTTCTCTTATAGATATTCTGAAGGAATCACGTTCAATTGATCGATCAATAACTTCAAGTTTATCATCATTATCATCACGTATAAAAAGAAATCCGGTGAAGACAAATATTTATTGAAAAAGACCTTTTGCCTTGCCGGCAACAACTTGATTTTCATTCGTTAACATTTGTTGTTCTTGAAAACGTTGCGATATTCGTTGTGTTACTTTAAGAAATTTTTCCAAACAAATATTAACACATGAATTCTATTAAAATTTAAATAAACGAAATTAACATATATATATATATATAAATAGAATAACGTACTTCAGATCCTGTTGTTGTTCGACCTGTAAAATCATTGATACAATCATTGAAACATACTTCAGCAATACGATTGTATTCACGAAGAAATTCTCTTAACTAAATTATAAAAAAAGATAAAAGAGCTTTGAAGAAAAAATCGAGATTTTTTTTGTCGATTACAGTAGGTAATTGATCTTCAAAGCTAGGAGCTGCAGGCGTAGCCGGTACAGCTGGTTCAGATGATCGTCCAAAAAGCATTGTATCTGAAATAATATCAAATGTTTTTTTTGTTGTAGGTAACTAGCACATAAATAAAACCAGAAGATGGATAAGTCTATATTTTACCTTGACTGAGGATGAGAAATAGCTGAATAACGACCTTCGATAGATGCCCTTAGTTTGTATACATGAATTTTACTAAAGAAAGTAATAGAGGTCATTATAATTTAAATATTTTCTTTAATAGATAATACATTATTATGTCTTGGTTTGAATGAGTTTATCTTACAAATTGCTTCATTAGTATCCATAAAAAATAATAAGTATATATTCTTCCTGAAATATGCACTTAATCAGAAAAATAAATGTTAAATCGTGATACCTATAATTTAAACGTCTGTTATATCGAAGTTTTATAGTTAGAATACTTTCCTTCAACTCACTAGAATCTGAAACTTTACCTCTGATAAGATATCATTATAAATTCTTTCACACAACAGTATTTCCCCAATTCATAAATCAATATAAATATATAAACATGTTTTTTTTTTCAAAATTCATTTTTCATATATAATCATTCTCTTCATAAATATATATATATATTCTCCAATAAGATACACATAATATAAAAGAAAAACCGAACCGTCAATACATATAACATACATAAATAAAGAATAATGCAAATATAAATATCTACATGAACAATATACAATCAAAAAAAAGAAGAAGAAACTATGACTGCTTCCGCGTTGTTTCACTATTCTTTTCATCATCATTTATTGTATTCTCATCATCATCATTCGTATCATTAATGAAAAATTTTGATGGACATAAACGTAAATGTTTTAATTGAGATGTATACTGTTCAAGATATGATGCAATACCAAATACAGCTAAACAAACTGGTTCATGATATTTTGAATCATTTATTAGTGCTGTACATATTTGATTGTCTTCTAATGCTATTTCAAATTGTTGATTTAATTCTCGTAATTGATTACCAGTATTACATTCAAATAATTGTTTAAGTTCACCATGATTATGCCAAGTTTTAAATGATAATAATTGTGAACGATGTTCCATAATTTGATCATAAAGATCAAATGATGCTTGAGCAATATTTAATAAACAAGCTGAAAATGATAAATGTGGATGACCTGTATTGATTATAAATTGCATACAACGAGGATTAGCAGCATAAGATGCTTCATCATCACTTGTATCAGCCTAAAATAAATATTTTTATGTTTATAATTTATGGAAAAATATACTGAAAATAAATACTTGTGAAACACCAGGAGAAGAAGGTGGTGATGGTTGAATTTGACCATTTAATAAATAGACGACAGCATCTTCTACATTTTCAACACGATGTAAAGCCTAAATTAATAAAATATTATATTTAAATGATAAAAAATAAATTTTACTTCTCTCGCTTGTTGTTCGGAAAAACCCATATCAATAAGAACAGCTAGATTGTCAGCTGATGTATTTGATGCAGCAGCATTTTGCATGATTATTTTGTTTTTGAACAAAAGAACAACGAGTTAATATTCGTAATAAGATAAGAAAAGAAACTAAATAAATACGATTATATTTCTATTTCTTCTCATTCGTCTTTTCTTTTTTTTTCTATATGAACTTAATAATAATAATAATGTGATTCATAAGATCCTTTATTGGTCTATATTAGAATATAAATGAGACGATAACTGTTGACATAAGAAAGATGTCGTCAGTTTATTGGTCATATATTAGAAAGATGAAAGTCAAAGTATAGAAGAATTTTTTTATATGTGATTAAAAGAAAATTACAACGATTTATATACATCCGAAGACAAATTATTAATTCTTCTACTTTGTAACTATAATCAGAATACTTTAGTGTACTGTCATTCATATCATTTTAACACATCTCATCTAGTATTATTTTTCTCGACATATGTCGTCGCCATTGATTATGTAAAAATATTAAATTTATTGATGTTTCCAGAATACGATCATAATAAATCAATTTCATTTTTTTTTGATACATTGACTTTCTAGATTATAAGAAAATAGTATTCAAAACTGAAATATTAATGTTATTACATGTAATAATATTTATTATCGTTATTATATTGCCTACAACTCTATGCGGTTTTCCTGAAAAAGAACTCAGCATGATTGTTTCTCTTGCCATATACACAATTGGTTCTTTCTTTTCTTTTCATTCTAGAAAACAAAGTTGCTAAATAATATACTTTCCTATTATCATATAATGTAACTCGTTGGCATTTGAAAATTATCTTATTTTTTTTCAAAAAATATACATCTATTGATAAGACAATTGTCTACCTATAATATAAATAAAATAACTTGTTCTCAGTATGTATACATAGCTATAACAAGTACGCAATATAAATATATCTACGTGTAACTATTCAACCCCATTGAAGAAGATTATCATTATGTAGAAAGGATTCCTTTATACAGAAAAATAGGGCTGTAGATATTATATTGACTTTAGACGACAGTAGAAGACGAGGAAGAATACAGCGCGACGGCTGTATCCTCTCTATCCAGTAATAAATATCACAAGAAAAAAAAAAAGAACAAGAAAGGCAAAAATCTATTACTACTACTACTACGAGTACCAGAACGGTACAATATTGGTATCTCTTGTGTTTGCCTTCTTTTTTTGTCTTTTTTT